CTTCCCTCCCTCCCTCCCTCCCTCTCTCTCTCTCTCTCCCTCCCTCTCTCTCTCCCTCACTTGTTGTTTGTTGCTTCCAGTTAATCTCTTGTCTCTCTGCATCATTGATCTGTCCCAGCTATCCAAATTATATCTCCTCGGCTATTGACAATAACAATAATAATAATAATAATAATAATAAAATTATGATACAACATAAAGGTTGAGACATGATGACTACCGCATAGTGGGAAATTTTGGAGGGAGTTAAATTTGGCGAATTACTAAATTTTGGTGATTGGCGGATTTTAATTTGGCGAATTAGTGGCCACGTGCCATTGAGCTTGCGTATAATGGCTCAAAATGGCGGACTTTTATTTTGGCGAATGGCTATCAACACACCAAACTTGCCAAATTTAATTCCCTCCAAAATTTCCCACTATACTGTACTTGTAGACACTATTGGTGAAGTTAAACTGGATCATTATACAAGTAAGAATAATGGAGTACATGTATGTGTGGCTATTGGCTAACAATCAAGAAGCTACTCTGTCTCCACCAGTATAAGTAAATAAAACATTTTAATGGGTTTAAAAATAACAACACAACAATAGTAGGTACAGAACCAGTTGTTAATCCATTCAATGTTAATTAATGATCATTGAGTGTTGGTACCTCAAACAAGGTACATGAAACAGGCTTTGTACTTTAGCTGAACTCAAAGAGGAAGCAATGCATGTACATAACAATGGAGACCAGATAAGGAATGGATAATGATTGAATGACCCCAAGACCAAGTATAGAGGCTTTGTTAATTATATACTTAGCACAAAAACAAACCCATACTTATACATAATTAGAGTATTACGGTACATAAACAGTGTTTTTCATACCCGTCCATTGTTCATCCATTTGTCTACTCCTCTAAAAATGATCCCCGTCAAAGTGAAGCAACCAGCTATTATTATAAAGCCAGGAAGAGCTTCAGGCCACATCTCTCTTTAGAGAAAATGAAGGATTGGGTGTGGTCTGTTGCTATAGTGACTGAGAAACAAAATGGAGGAATCAGCAACATACACTATCAGACCAAATTTCAAAGACAAGTAAAGATAATAACGAGCTTTCGTCTTGTTTATTTATTTTTTTGCTTATTAGATTCCGTCCTTCATTAGTGAATGATATGATATACAAGGTACTAAAGGAGAGCCTTCAAGATAAACAATATTCAAGTGAAGCTGAAACCTGGTGCAAGGATATCACTGATCATATCAAGAGAAATCTTAAAGGTACTGCAGACTAGTCATTAATATAGTACTTTGTGGGGTAGGGAAGTTGTAGCTTACTACTTGTAAATAAGAAACAAAGATGGCAAATACCGTATAGCCGGAAAATTGGCAGAGAATTAAATTTGGT